GGAGCAAGATGGTATCTCGTTGTTTTGATTTGCATCTCTCTAATAGCTAATGATCGTGAGCATTTCTTCATATGTTTGTTGGCCACTTGAATATCCTCTTTGGTGAAGTGTCTATTCATGTCTTCTGAGGCAGGCCCCTTAAAGTGAGGAAATTGAGTGGAGGAGGGTGGGGTGGGGGAGAGGCCACCCCTTAGCCACAGTCGCCTGGCCCATACGTGGCAAAACTGGGACGGTACACACACAACCGCCTTCGGTCCCCTACCCCCCACCTCCCCTGGAGAGAAAGCCTGTGTACTTCGTGGTCCACTGTACAAAGGCTCCAGGTGCAAGGGGCTAAAGAAAATCAGAGAATGGAGAGCTTTCTCAGCTTTGTTACTGAGCTGGGTGAAATTCAGAAAGGCTGCCTGGAGGAGGAGTCAGCTGAAAGTTGTACCTGATCTCATTTCCTCCCCTATGTCTTCCGATTAGTTTTGGATGCTTTGCAGTCCACACCCCATCTCCAGGTACAACCCTCCTCTCCCTTCCAGGTCTTCACCCCAGGAACTCAACCTCTCATCCCTTTGATGTTGGGAAATGGGTGGGTAGGGACTGTGGCCGTGAGAAAAGGTCTATAGTGCAGAATTATAACCAGGACGATCCCCAGTGAGGGCGAGGTCGCTCACTGTACGGCACACTCCGTAAATACACGTGGGGAACCCAGAGTGTGCACATTCAGCCACTGTGCACACAGATGGTGTTCAGAGAGAGCAGCTCTGTCCCTTGCAAGTTCATGTTCTTTCTTCCCCTTGCATTTTCCTGCCTCTTCTCTCTGTTTACGAGTCTGTGCGTCTTGCTCTCTTCCTTGCTCCTCCGTCTTGGTCTTTCTCATTCTCTGTCTCCTCCCCTGCTTCCAGATTTTTCCCCTTTTTTTTTCTCTTTGCTTTGTCCCCTCCACTGAGCTATGTGTGACCCTGGGCTAAGATAAGGGATGGTTCATTCTTGTGCATAGACCTTGGATTAACCTCTGCTGTGTAACCCCAGGAATGCAAAAAGACACCCCCTCCCCCAGCAGTTGCTACCCTCTGGTAGCACAGTGGATAAGGCACTTGACTGCTAACCGGAAGGCTGGCGGTTCAAACCCACCAGCCACTCCTCGGAAGGAAGGTTGGGCAATCCTACTTCCGTAATGATACTGCTTCGGAAACCCAAGGAGGGGTCGCTATGAGTCAGGACTGACTCCACGGCACATAACAACAACAACAAGGGATAAAGGGCACCACCTATGTGTGAGGTGCTGGGCGAGACCCAGGGAACTTTGTGGCTCTAGACCAGGAGCTGGCAAACTAGCAGCCTACAGGCCAAATTCAGCCTGCTCCCTGTTTTTGTAAATAAAGTTCTATTGCAAAACACAGCTATGCTCATTGGTTTACGTAGAGTTTGCTACGGTAGCAAAGTTGCAACCAAAAGTGCATGGCTCGCAAAATTTCAAATATTTACTATGTGATCCATCGCAAAAAGATGAGCCCTGGTGGCAAAGTGGTTAAAGTGCTCAGCTGCTAACTACAAGGCCATCACTTCAAACCCAACAGCCATTCTGTGGAAGAAAGGGGTGGCAGTCTGCTTCTGTAGAGATTACGGCCTTGGAAATGCTGTAGGCCAGGTCTGCTTTGTCCCACAGGGTTGCTGTGCATTAGAATTTGACTCGATGGATGGCGTGCGGCCTTAAAGAACAGATAGAACGTGGGTAGGTGTGGAGAAAGGGGAACGTTCCAGGGTGAAGAGACCCAGAATAAAGGCGTGGCAGTGAAATAGCCTGGCTTTCCTCGGGGGCAGACATCTTGCGGAGAAGCAGAGGGTGGGAGGCACCAATGGGTTCAGAATCAACCGTGCAGACCCCTAAGTGCCAGGGTCAGATGTTTGGGTCTTTAGGGTTTGGACATGAAAGAAATGCAGAAGGTTTTTGAGCATACGAGTGATGTGGCAAAGTAGGATTACAGGGAAGATTTGGCTGAAGTGTAGATGGAGTGAAGTGAACGATGGCTGGACGCTGGGTGAGCTTGGCAGCAGGTCCACCTGTCGGAGGGGACCAGGCTGAGGTGAGGCATTTGGAAGGAGAAACGGACGGACTGGATGTCAGGGGAAGAGGAGGAGAAGAAAACAGCAGTCTGCCAGTGCCCGGCGCTTTGCTTTGTCTTCTCTGTGTTGTTGTTGTTGTTGTTGTGCCGTCGAGTCGGACCTGACTCACAGCGACCCCTCCTTGGGTTTCTGAGGAGGTATCACTACGGAAGTAGATTGCCAGACCTCCCCAAACCCTATGAGCTTGCTAGTACTGTATCCAGAAATGAAGGCTCAGAGAAGCTAAGTAACTTGTCCAAGACCACATAGTACATGGTGGAGCCGATATTAAAAACCAGGCAGTCTGACCCCAAACCTGTGTCACCCCGCTCTCACCTTTGAGGTTGAGAGCCTGGTTGCTGGGAATGGTCGTGGTCCTCAGAGGGAATGTGGGAGCGAGACTCAGGAGGTTGATGTGAATGTAACGTCCGAAGTTATGTCCAGATCCCACCCCCATCCCCCATCCCAGTGGGCTGAGTAACAGAGACTAGTGGAGGCCAGGATCCCAGTAGATGATGTGGTGAATAGACTTGGGAACTGTTCCTGCAGAAGTCATAGTTGAAGCCAGGGGCATGCTGTGTGGCGTTAGAACCTAAAGGTCTTAAACAGATATGAATGTGTGGGACCACCCCCAGAGAGCCTGATTCTGCTGGGGTAGTGCTCCCCAAGAAACAAGGCCACTGCCATTGAGTTGGTTCCAACTCACAGTGACCCTATGGAAGCTCTGGTGGCGTAGTGGCTGAGGCACTTGACTGCTAACCAGAAGGCTGGCGGTTCAAACCCACCATCCACCTCAGAAGGAAGGTTGGGCAATTTACTTCTGTAGTGACACTGCCTCAGAAACTCAAGAAGGGGTCGCTATGAGTCAGGTCTGACTCAATGGCACATAACAATAACAACAGTGACCCTTTAGGGTTTGGACATGAAAGAAATGCAGAAACCTATACATCTTTATGGAAGCAGACTGCCTCATCTTGGGTTAGCAGCCCAATGCTTTAACTGCTGCACCACCAAGAGCTCTTTGGGTGGTGCCCAGACAATGATAATTTAAAAATCTTCTCCAGGTGATTTGCATATGCATCCAGGTCTGGAAAACAGTGGACTGTAGGTTAAGGGATGAGCAGAGGGTGGAGGTCGGACCTTGAGACCTGCCCACAGGGAGGAGCAGAGGAACCAGAGAGGCTGGCAGAAACGTGGGAGGGAAACTAGGCCAGTGGTGAGGCCAGCTCAGGAGAGACGGAACAGCCTCTGAGTCAGAGGGTGGCTGTCTTGTTGACCTTTGACTCTGAGTTGTAGAAATTGGCAGAGTTGTGGCAGATGACTGGGGTGTGGGGAGGAGTGCTATCAAGAAGAGGAACAGCAGGACAATAGATTATTCTTTGAGGCTTTTGGCAGGAACAGGAATGAGTGAAGAAGGAAGACTGGCGAGATCCAGATGCAGGCATGGAAGCTTTGGAGATAGGGAGACACAGAACCCCAAACAGTTGGAGGATGCATTCTGCTCAGATACTGGTGATGCCATGAAATAGTCATTCCCTGATTGGGTAACTAAAGGGAGGTGGGACTTCGGGAAGCTACTCAACCAAACAAAAACCAAACTCACTGTCTTCGAGTCAATTCCACCCATAGCGACCCCTCCTTGGGTTTCCGAGGTGGTATCACTATGGAAGTAGATTGCCCCATCTTCCTTCTGAGGAGTGGCTGGTGGGTTTGAACCGTCAGCCTTCTGGTTAGCATCAAATGGTGGCACTATGCCACAAGAGCGCCCCTGCTCAACCCAGTAGCCAGTTGTCTTGGAGTTGATCCTGACTCATCGGGGCCCCATGTCTGCTCCAGGCCTTTCTTCTACAGTGCTCCTGGGTGGACTTGAACCTCCAACCTTTAAGGTTAGCAGCCAAGCATGTTAGCCATTGGTGTCACCCAGACTACTCCACTAAGGGAAAACCCTACGGAACAGAGTTCTGTTCTGAAACACATTCCATCACTCGACAGCAGCTGGTGCTAGGGGCCAAGCTTGGTTAGAAATCGTGGCGGGCAGTAGCGGTGGTTCAGGCATTTGCTCCAGGGACAGAGACCTCCCACCCTAACTGATCTCACTCTTGGTGCAGGTGGAGTTCTACTTCCTGTCCCAATACGTGTCGCCAGCTGACTCCCCATTCCGCCACATCTTCCTGGGCCATGGAGACCACACACTTGGCGCCTTGCTGGACCACCTACGGCTGCTTCGAAAGAGTGACTCTGGGGCCCTAGGGACCTCCTCTCCTGGGGTTGCACCCAGCCTAGGCTTCCAGGAGAGCCGCTTCCGTCGCCAGCTGGCCCTGCTCACCTGGACGCTGCAGGGGGCAGCCAACGCACTTGGTGGGGATGTCTGGAATATCGACAACAACTTCTGAGGCCCACTGTGGGCCCCCACATCCCCTTGCCCCCATCTGAGAGCTCTTCCTCTCCACATTTGAGTGATTTCAGGGTGACGGAGGTGCCCTTGTACCACCTCTCATTGCTGACCAAGAGTCTCATTATCCCCTCCTGTCCCTCCACAGCCCAGATCCCAGCACATAGATGTGCACACACTCTTGGCTTCACCAATCTAGGAGCAGGTGAGCAGTGCCTTCTGTAATGTGATGGTCATACAGTCAGATAACCAAGTGTCTGTGCAATCACAGACTGTTTGCCCTTGAGGAGCAGGGCCCCTCACACCCTGAAATGACTCTTGAAGTTTTCCTAGGTCCTAGAGCCTGGCCTAGCTATCGGTAGAAGAGATTGCTAGACCTTCGAGTCAACAGGTGGTCTGTGGTGGGAGGGACGTGGGTTTTGGCCTTTAATAAACCACCTGGTGACATCCTGTTGTCTCTGTTGTTGTTGTTGTTATGTGCCGTCGAGTCAAACCCGACTCATAGCCTGTTGTCTCTAAGCATCTTTATACTTCTTCCTTATCCTCACCTTCATCCAGTCACACACACCCCTTGAAACCTAAGGAGGGATTGGGCAGAAGGAGTATGAGTGGAAATGCTGTCTCCATAGCTGTTCCTGTTATCTAAGGAAATAACGAAGGCCTGTTCCTCAGAGAAGGAGCTCTGGTGGTGCAGTGGTTAAAGTATTTGGCTGCTAACCAAATGACTGGCAGTTTGAACCCACCAGCTGCTGTGCAGGAGACAAATAAGGCAGTCTGCTTCCATTTACAGCCTTGGGGCAGTCCTACTCTGTCCTTTTGCATTGCTATGAGTTGGGGTCCACTTGATGGCAGTGAGTATCCCTAAAAGAGATCCTTTACAAATGGTTTGTGCTTAACTACTAGCCTAAAGGTTGGCAGTTCGAATCCACACAGAAGCAAGCCTTGGCAGTCTGCTTCCGTAAAGATTACAGCCAAGAGAGCCCTGGGGGGCAGCTCTACTCTGTAGCACATGGGGTTGTCATGAATCAGAATCCACTCAATGACAGTGGGTTGGGTTGGGTTTTATTCTGAAGAAAAAAAAAAATGGACTCAAACATACGAATGGTCATGAAAATGGCCCAGGACTGGGCACCATTCTGTTCTGTTGTGTATGGAGTCACCGTGAGTCACAGCCAACTCCATGGCAACTCACAACACCAACGCTCTCCAAAGACCACCATGGGATGGGGGACCAGCTCTGTATCTTCTCCTGGGAACAGTGCCAGCTACCTAATTTGCAAGGCCCAGTGCAAAACGAAAATGTAGGGCCCCTTGTTCAAGATGCAGGAACAAAGCCCTTTTCTTTCTTCCACGGTCTCTCAACTTGTCATGGGGTTTTTATTTGCAGTGTAATGCCTTGCTTCTTCAGGCATGGAGAGGCTCTCAGGGTGAGTGACAACCTCGCAGATGCTAGGAGTTCTGCTCTACAAGTTGGTACACAAGAATGTGTATGTCCAACCCCGACCCTGACCCTCAACCTTCCTTGTGCCTGTGCCCAGGCTTCTGTTGGGGAAAAGCAGTGGCAGTTATGACCAAGTGAGGGCAGACGAGCAGGAGGGAGAACTCACTCAGAGGTGGGAAGGAGGCGGGAGGCAGGACCCTCAGCACATACTCCGTTGCCCCATAGGACTTAACTTACAACATACAAATTCAAAGATAAAATTATTAAACTCCAAGTGCAGGGCCCTCTTCTGGACCACAGAGCCCCCTGAGATTAGACTGGTCACCAAACCATTAGTTTATCCCTACCTGGGATGTCTCTTACTCCAGGATCCCTTTGGTCAGTCTTTGTCCAGTGAAGGTAGAGACCACGAGCTATGAGCCACACGAGGGCAGGGAATTACAAGTGCTACTGTTACCACATTGCCTTTCATCATAGACTCAGGAGGGTGCTTCTCTGGCTCTGACTCTGGGGCTGCAGCATAAATCCTGGGGTTCAGCTTTCAGCCTACTTGGTCCTCTCTTGCTCCCAGTATAGGGTAAGAGGTCTTACCCAGCTCCTGAGGTCACTGGGAAGTAAAGACTTCTCAGTCTAAGGCTTAGAATACTCTAGCCCCTTGGTTCCAGAATGAAACTGCCCCTTCCTTTGCCTCCTGAGCCTGTATCAGGATCAGAAATTTCAACTGCATCTAAGATGTCATAATTGTCTCTCCTCATCTGGAGCAAAGAAGAGTGAAGAAACCCAAAGACACATGGAAACAATTAGTCCAAGGGACCAGTGGACCATGTGAACCTCAGCCTACATGACCCTGAGACCAGAAGAACTAGATGGTGCCTGGTGGCCACTGTCAACCACTTGGAAAAGGATCTAAATTGGAGATCTTGGATAGAGTGGTAGAAAAATGTGGAACAAAACTCAAAATCATGAAAGAAGGCCAGGCTTAATGGTGTGATAGAGACTGCTGAAACCACTGAGACTATGGCCCCTAGTCACCCTTTGGGCCTTGTATCGAACCCACTCCTGTGGCTTAACTAACAGCCAAACAATAGCAGGCCTACACAGTCAACAATTGCACTAGGTGGGTACACTCCTTAGGACAATCAACCATGGGAGATCAGAAGGGCAGCATTTGTGCAAGGAGATAGCTCAGAGGGCAGGACCGCATAGGAAAGAAGGATACACAGAAAAGGTAAGCCCAGGGAGGAAGTGAGAAGAGGGCTAATACATTGCAGGGATTGCCATTATTGTCACAAAAACAAAAAATGTAAAGAAAAGGAAAAGAAACCTCAGCTATTTGTTTCCCTGACATATAGCCCAGGACAAGTTTCCCGAAGTGATTTCTCTTCATCTTGTCCATATGCTTCCTGTAGTGGAAGGAACATGGCCCCCAAAAGATGTCCAAGTTCTAGTCCCTGGAACCTGTGAGTATATTATTTTGCATGACAGAAAGGATTTTGCAGATGTGATTGATCTTGACATGGGGAGATTATCCTGGATTATTGGAAGGAAGTCAATTTAATCACAAGGGGAAGTAGAAGAGCCAGAGACCTGGAACAGAAATGAGACCACGGAGGAAGCAGAGGGTTGGAGTCCAAAACAGAAGATGCTACTCTCCAGGGTTTGAACATGGAGGGAGGAACCACAAACCAAGAAATGCAGGTGCCCCTAGAAGCTGGAAAGGCCGAGAGAACAGACTTTCCCTTGGAGCCTGCAGAATGGATGCAGTCTTGTTGACACCTTCATTTTAGCCCCATGAGACTCACTTTGGACTTTTGCCCCCCAGAACTATAAGAGAATATATTTTATTGTTTTAAGCCAATACATTTGTGGTAATTTGTTACAGCAGCAATTGAAAACTAATACACTCCCACTTCACCTGCTGTAAGCTCAGTATTATTTTCCAAAAGGCTTGCCTTAAACTACATGACCCAACAATCCCAATCCGACGTGTACACTCAGATGAAGTGAAAGCAGAACACGAACAGAAACCTGTGCCCCCGTGTTCACAGCAGCACTTTTCCCAATACCAAAACGTGGAAACAACGAAATGTCCATCAGCAGACGAACGAGTGAACAAAATGGGGCAGGTACACACAATGGAATATTTGTTGCTGTTAGTTGCCTTCCGGTAGATCCCGACTCTTGGTGACCCCATGAACTGCTCCACAGGGTTTCCAAGGTTGTGACCTTCTGGAAGGAGATCACCAGGCCGGTCTTCTCAGGAACCCCTGGCTGTGTTTGAACCAGCAGGCTTTCAGCTGGTGATCGAGTATTTAACAGGAAATGAAGTGCTGATGCATGCTACAGGGCCGAGCCTCGAAAACATTACACTGAGCAAAAGATGTCAGTTGGAAAAGTACAAACACTGCACATAATGGATCGAATTGTGTCCCCCAAAACGATGTGTTGTAAATCCTACTACACGTGAACTTATACTCCTATTTGGGAACAGATTCTCTTTGCTATGATAATAAGGCAGTCTTAGTGTAGGGTGTGTCTCACATCAATCTCTTTTTGATCTGAAA